GGGACCAACGCTCACCGATTATACATTGATTGATGTATAGAGGGCGTAAGTAGCTATAACTAGTGCAGTGGGGCTTTAAGATTCTGAATTGATACCAAACCAGTGAATGTGAATACAGAACTTCGCAGTGAAGGACTAAAGATGAAGTTGAGTTATGGTCATGCGATTGCATTGTGAAAGAAACGGTGTGGAATCGACCAAAAAAGGTTGATCATCTAGCATATAAGAATTTGTGTGTATTGCAAGGTTCTGGAATCATCAAATAATGAGAAATTTGGCCAAGTCTTGGTAAAGTTACGAACACTGTACACAGAAAGATGTATATGGGACTACACGAACACATGGCGTAAAAATCCTACCCCTGAGTTTTACGATGTTACATGACATATTTAGAATATAAAGGCATTTGAAGAGCCATGCTTTTCAGGGAACATGTCTTATCTGATGTTCTTCCACACTTGCATAATAAGAATGATAACGCTCACAAATTATTTTTCACCTCTTCCCAGAACTCAGGATTAAGTCGCAAAAAAATAGTATTACGTGTTGACTTAATGTATCGATATATTTCCTCTTTCCTTTCAAGGTAAAACACTGTAAAGCCCCTTTCAGATATGACGCTGAAAACCGGGGTGTTAATTTTTTTCATGATGGTGTGAAGTTAAATACGCTTCACATTTATGTATCTTATGACACCGAGCTCAGTGAACACGCGCACGAACTTTGTTGCGCGGAGTTACAATTCATTTACATTTTTTTTTTAAATAGAGGGGGAAAGGCGACAACCTCCATTCTGATAATATTCCACAGTGAATACACTCTAATACTACAGTCACACCGCCAAACCGACTTCACACTGACAGACTCTAAGCCATTCGGGGTGTCGTACTAGTAATCGAGTGGTTTAAGCATTTTAATTGAAATACGAAGGTCGAAACTGCAGTAATGTCCTTTGGGAAGGCATTGGTCTACAATTGCCATTCCATACCCAGTAGACAAATGGCGATCCGGTAGCATGACGAAAGCCTTTGTGAAAGTAATTGCCATATGCCCTCACGGTGACCATGACATAGGAATAATCCCCAGGGAGTGGAGATGGTGCACACTGTGCGTGAATGAATCCGATGACCGGGGTAATACAATTGTAAAGCGCTAAGAAACGGAATTTCGTATTAAGCGCTACATAAATCCAGATTATTATTATTATTATTATTATTATTATTATTATTATTATTATTATTATTATTATTATTATTATTATTATTATTATTATTATTATTATTGTAATTTTCAGTTTGGTCCGTTTTCGTTCTGGTGTTGGCCTCATTGGTTTGAATAAGGTATTAAACACCGTCAATACTACTGGGCCAGAAGGGATTAGACCACACAGCGAGGTCACTGACAGGTGGCTATCTCATTAACTCAGCTCTCAACTAACACAAGAAAAAGAGGATCATGGGGAACCAACAGGCACCGATTGGGAAAGTTTTCTATATAGAGGGAGCAAATAGCTACAGGTAGGACATTTTGCTTATTGAATTTCGGTAACAAAAACAAAGAGGAAGTGAAATAGAATATAAGCAACACTACAATCACCACTTCACAATTCAATTCATATTTCTCCTAGTCTATCAAACAAATATATTTTGAATTCTGAAGTACATTCATATATAACTAGACAATCATCTCATTTTCATATACCACTTATCAAAACTTCTGTCTCTAAAAAATCAATTTTCTTTAAAGGACCTATTTTATGAAATGAGTTACCTCCTAATGTTAAATCAAGCCCAACTTTGAATACATTTAAAAGAAGATACAAACAATAACGTTTTTGTGAATAGTATTTTATTAGTTTTTATATATGCAATCAGGTGTTAGATGTTAGGTGTTAGTTGTTAGGTGTTAGGTGTAAGGTGTTTAGTGTTATAGGTTAAAATTCTTTATCATGTCGCAAGGGACCAGCACCACACAAGACGTAATTGTTCTTTCTTGCTGGTTCCTCATTCGTGTATATATTTGTATTTTATGTTTATCTTTCGTTATGTTATTTGTATGTTCTTTACTTATCTGTAAATATCAATGTTGTAATCATGTTTGTTTTTTATATGACGAATGCAATAAAATGAAATGAAAATGAAATTCTGTTCATGTAAATATTTGATTAATGAGAGTATCTGTGACGTACAATCGGGGTCAATCTCCCATTTTAGTGGTTTCGTTCAAAGGCCAGTATTTTTATTTCTGACTTCCCACTTCTCCTTTGCTTACATGTTCTTTACGAATGCAGACATTTTTCTCGTGAACGTATTTCTTATCTTTCGATTTATTGTGTGTATGTATTCTTATATATGGTTTGTGCTTTGCATTCGTAGAATATTGTTGAAATTGAATTTTAAAAGATCTTTTTTTTTTTTTTGTTCCTTCTTTTGTTCGTATATTAAAACTGAATTAGCTAACTCTTTCCTTCTCCCTTTCTATGTTCTTCCCCATCTTATGATGTATTAATGTGTACATTATCACGCATCCTTATTTGCTTCCTCTATTCTTCTGCTATCTCAATCAAAACCATGATCATATGCACACATATTTTATCCTTATAGTATTACCCTATCCGCCTCTCTCTCTCCATCTCCCCGCCCCCTCTTTTTCTCTCCATCGCTCATAATAGACTCTAGCTATTTCCACAACTGCCATACTCCCCGAGTTCTACCCCCCTCTCTCTCTCTCTCTCTCTCTCTCTCTCATACACGCCCACAATCACGTCAACCATAACGGCATAAATTTTCTCTTTCTAGCTCTATACTTATCATAGATTTAAAGGATGTTCTTCGCTTTTATTTCTCCTTCTTTTTTCAAACAAGACCACGTTTCTTTGTTATCCTTCTTTCTTCTGTCAGGCAAATAGATTTCATAAATAATGTACCAAATATCTCTTGTTATGTGGAACAAGTTGGCAAGTTTGATTTGCAGTTTTAGAGATGATTGTTCATAAAAGATTATATCGAATTAGAATACGGATGTACAAATGTTAGGCTAATTGTGTTCATAATATATAGCCACACGACGCCTGTAAGAAAATCATTAAGGAAGTGTACACACTAAGAACTTCAAAGTTAATGAAATGAGTAAACGTTGCAGGTCATATAGTTTCTATGAGTAGTAGACATAGCCGGAACATGCCCAAACATGATTATTATTTATAGTGAAAGCAGTATCAATGTAAATTTGGCAAATTAAACATTCAGTTTTGTGTCGTTTAGGATTTCAAAGTTTGTGGCATCCATTTTCTTGAATCTAATTCATAACTAATAGGAAACGAAATATGACAGTATAATATACCAGTAAAAAAACTGGTATCAAAATAGTCAGAATGATTCTCTAGTAAAATGAGTTGTTTGCACCACTGTCAGGTCATATGAGACTTCATTTGCTGCCATGAGATAATTAATATGTTATGTATACGTATTTAAATCATATAAGGTGTAATTTTGATCAGTCTCAAGGGGTTCTTGCATAGCTTCAAGTTATATTTTCAATGAATTGCACTTAATTTGTGATTATTAGTACTTAAGGATAAATGTGATTCTCTACATAAACTTTGCATTGTGTTTTTAAAGCACTTTTTCTAAAAATGAATCACCTAAATATTTGTATAAGCTTTACTCTGTCCATCAGATTGTATCCCTGATTAAAGATTATTTAAAACAACAGCTTGTTTGTTGTAATTACTTCTTTGTTTATATTAATATTCACAATCTAAGGAGGATAGAAAGAAAGGGGCAGATAGAAAGTGCGAGAGAGAGAGAAAGAGAGAGAGATAGAGAGAGGGGGCCGGGGGGAACGTCGTTTTACCTCCATTACAAATAATTTACAAATACTGCTTCTTCTGCCTTATACCTTCCCCCCAATGTTTGACGTACAAAGCAGAGTTTGGTAATATTACAATATCCTTCTGTTTACATCCAAGTATTTCATAAACATATAAAGGGATAGTTGAGTTTCGTCGCAGAGGGCGCTACTCAAAATAATATTTTGTGTGAGATAGTGAAAAGCTCAGTGTCAAATCTGAAAGAACATACAATTCAAATTTAATACAAATTCATCTTTGTGTGATCAAAATCGGTTCAGAGACGGCTGATATATCCATGAACATTAATATCTAATATTTGTGGTGCCTCACAAATATTCGATAATTTGAACCAGCCGTTGAAAAACGAGATAACGTCTCATACGTTTTATTCCAGCCAATGCCGATGTTAGCTTTTAGTTGGCTTTTTCTTGTTTGTTATAATAAGCACAACCACCCGGCCCGTGTATTGTTAATATTAATCAATTAATTAATTAACGGTCACCAAACGTGGAGCTGAATTGGTATGATCATAATGGCTAAGTTTCACACATTTTGGGGTCTAAAAGTACCTTCATAGCAAGTTTAGGTCATTAAAGAAAACTAGAAATGTCATTAATAAGAATAACCATGCACTGTGAAGGCATTTGCGGTCTAAAATATGAACTTGGCTATCCCTTTAACAGTAGAATACCCAATGTACCCTGGTTCATAGGATTAGATGACAATGAATATTACTATATTGATCATTTATATCTTCTTTGATTGCGTGTACCGAGTTCAAATCGCACTTTTTCAACGAATGAGAAATAATCGCTTCAATCATTAGATTCGAATTCATGTAAAATTATATCTCACCCTTGAAATATGTACAATCTAGCACTGACAAAGGAAGTTTGGAACATTCCCAATATTTTCTTTCAAACTGTTTTAGAAAGATTGAAGCACTTTACAAATTAACAACTATGTTATGATTGTATTTCCCATAGCACATGGTAGTCTTTGGAAGATATATACCATGGTGCGAATGATATAATATATACAACGAATAGTACTGAACTGAATTAAATTTCATCTACGCTTTTGTAAAATTCATTCGCTATCAAGTTAGTTGGCACTGAATGGAATTCGGTGTTTTGATAAATCTCACCGTCCCCCTCGCCAATCACCGGATCGTTCGTATTATCAGCACGGGGAGTAGGCGGGGTTGCTGCACCGTAGAGTTCGTTGTCGATCATTGAGTCTTCTTCCTCATAAGTTTCATAGACGTTCCCGTCGGGGTTTTCATAAACGGCGTCATTGTCCTGATCAGCCACCGCGCCGTGTTTGTGAGCGCGAGGAGTTACCTGGGATGGAGCACCGTAAAGCTCGTTGTCAACCATAACCTTTTCATCTTCATAACCTTCATAAGCGTCCTCATCAGTTTCGGGAGCACCGCTCGTGGGATTACCAGGTTTTGGACGTCCAGGACCTTGATGAGATTTAGTTATGGCGTGGTGTTTCGCTGCCTTATGATCAGTAGAGTTATGATTCAATGATGACGGGCTCACAGATTGTTCATCATTTGTTCCATATAAAACATTATCCACGAAACCATCTTCGGTATCAGTTTTATTCCAACCATTCGAACCCTTGATGACAGAGGGTGTGTCATCCTGTGTCACGCCCTTCCAAAGATGCGGAGAGGGTTGCTCAGCAACGGAAGTCCCAAATCCGCCATTTTTATCGCTGTCTGGCTCAAGTGTTAGATAATATGGTTCGTGAGGAGTACTGTCTGCTGGCTTGCTATCTTCGTAGCAGTTTGCAACCGCGGCATAGTTCTCCATTTCGTTTTCATCATCGGGTGAGACAGGTTTAGCCGCACGACGCCTGTAGGAAAATAAATACCAAAGGGAACACACTAAAACTTCAAGGTTAATTAAATCAAAATTCGGAAGCTCTGATATATAGAGTGACCTTTTTTAAAATGGTAAATTAAACAAATTGACATGTTTGATCGAACTCTTACACTGTTCGATATATCGTATTATAAGTGTTGATTATAATGGCGTACCTTGCTTCTCGAAACTTGTAAATGTTGATTCAACATTTTAGTTTTTAGAGTGCATAATTCATGAATTCACACAATTATACATACGTAACGTAGAAATACAAAGGATTATCTTTTTAATTTTGTATTAATTTCTTTTGGTTGCATTTGGGGGTGTTACGGTCCAGTCGAATGCTGAGTAATATCAAGGGAATTGGGAATGGTTGTTCAAACCATGACAACTGGCACAAAGGTCGAACTTTCTATGCTAAACAGTCTTGGATATATAGCGTAGACTTGTTTTAATTTAACAATCTCTAAAGAAGAAAAAATACTCGCCGAAGCAAGGAATCTTGAAAATTATTTTGTATCAAAAGAGTGTGTTTTCGGTTAAAAACATTAAAGTTTCCTGTGTTGAAAAAAGTAACAGTTCATATATGAAATAATTCTGGACTGGGGGTGATTTTTATATTTTCAACATTGATCGCCAAATTAAAACATGCCTCCAAAATGTAAAAGTATAGAATCATGTTGAATTTAGGGCAAAGGTAAGAAAACTGGCGTTACTGTGTACTAATAATGATAACTAATAATAAACTAAGATTATTTTTTTAAACATACATATATATATACCTTCTGAACAAGACGGTGGTTAAAACGATTACCACTAAGATGAAGAGGATGACCACCGAGCTTCCAGCTGCAACGACTTTCAAGAGAAATAATATAAAGATATGTATTTGTGTGTATATAAATAGCGGAAACATATTTCGTTTTCATTTAAAATTATTTCCTATTGAAACCTGTAACAAAGAAGTCCGTCATCTCCCTGTGTTGAGTAGTCTTTATGTACATGATCACTATATGTTATATGAAGTATTGCATTTTGTAATAACTATTTCACAATGTTCTGTTTTAAACATCGGATTGTTATATACATTTTCAATAAATGACTTTGAATTAAATAAGTGTATTATTTTCTTGTGATGTTTGAATGCTTGTATTTATGATTTTCTTCAAATTTATATCAAACAACAATTTGTTTAAAGTTTTGACATGTACCATTGCCGATTAGATATTGATGAAAAAAATACTGATAATTCTCTGATAATCGCGAAGTTACTCACCTCCAGAAGGTAATGAATTCCCCTTCGGACTTTCTGTGATGAAAACGAAAACATTTGAATTATAGAACCAAAAGTGAAAATCAAAAGAAATCAAGATCACTTGATTATGTAATGTATTATAATTGAAAATGTTACTCTAATTGATTTTTAATAAATATCTGTTATCTGTATTAACTTTGCTCGTAATGAATTAATACTCTCGGCTACATGTCTTTAGTTTAACGTTTTTATATTTCTATCTTGTACTATTTAAATATACTTGTACATGCTTATTTTTTTTATTTGTAAAGCGCAAAGAGAAACTTCTGTTTATTATGCGTGCAATAAATCTATATATCTTTATTAATATTATTATAAATAATACACTGTCGCTCATAAAGGTGGAATATTTGAGTTTTACCCCAATTTATGGAATTATTTTAAAAATTATTTAAAAATAATAGATATAGATAATAGTATACATTCTCAGATTTTATTGAATAATAACTTGCCAATGTGTGTTTTGCGGAACTGCTAAATCATGTGTATGCTACTATGCTTATTAACTAGTGGACCTACGCTCTCAAGTCATAAATGACAGTAATGAGGATTAATGCCCCACAAAAGGGCACTAATATAGCACATCGACACAGTTTTGATCCTGGGGCCTCACAGTTACGAGGCCATTGTTTTGTCACTGAATCGTGACTGTACGCAGCGGGGGCTAGGGTAGGGGGCAGTTTCCATAAATTAAAAAAAAACAGAAAATTCAATAAATTTTCAATAATTTATTGCATTTTACCCCGGTCCCCAACATAAAAAAAATCCTCTGGACGGCCATGCATTATGGCTCAAGGCATGGGCACACAGAATTTTGTTTATGTTAGGCACCGGGTTTAAATGCAATAAATTATTGAAAATTTATTGCATTTTCTGTTGTTTTTTTTAATTTATGGAAACTGCCCCCTACCCTAGCCCCCGCTGCGTAGAGTCATGGTTCGGTGACAAAGCAATGGCCTCGTAACTGTGAGGCCCCAGGATCAAAACCGTGTCGATGTGCTATTTTAGTGCCCTTTTGTGGGGCATTAATCCTCATTACTGTCATTTATGACTTAAGGGCATAGGTCCCCTAGTTGATAAGCATAGTAGCATACACATGCTTTAGCAGTCACGCAAAACACACATTGGCAAATTATTATTCAATAAAATCTGAGAATGTATACTATTATCTAGATCTATTATTTTTAAATTATTTTTAAAATAATTCCATAAATTGGAATTAAAAAAAATATTCCACCTTTATGAGCGACAGTGTACATCAGTAATGTAAAACCAAAAGCATTGGCGACATGATTTTTTTCTTCTAAACTGCACACGCTGCTAGAGCAACTTTCACGGCAGGAACCTTTGATGAATTGTAAAAGTTCACTGTTGTGTCAGAATGGTCAGTTACTATCTCGTATACCAACCATAGCTATAAAAGACCGACACTTGTTTGAATATGTCACCAGTTGCGGGTTGTCAATATCAGCGAGGGGACATGGGATGGGAGCTGCTTTATTAAGTCCTTGTCGTCCACCCTGAGTAGTCAGATAAAACTCTCAGTCGCGATTTAATCATTTTGCGTCATTCTTGGAAGTGGAACAATCGATCTATTCTTAAATACTTCATGCCCGCCTAAGTTTCTTGGTTTACAGAAGGTTTTATGAAAAAAACATTAAGCAAAAACAAATGTGAAAGTGCTCTAAAATTTACGATTTTAGCAAGCATTGTCTTTTTGCATTTAAAGAAAGCTTTTATTCCAATCAAAATAAGGAATTGTTTTTCTTGAAATTAGGATACATTCGAGAGCTACATTCTAAAACCCCAAACGTTACGTCAATTATATTTTGAAGGGCAAAGGAGTAGCATTTTCAAACTGGTAGATGAACTCTTTTAGCAAGCTTTATTTAGCCTTTATACTGTTGGATCTAACATGCAACAAGTGTAATGTACGATTTTGGGAATAGTGACTCTCATCGGCCCTTTCAAACGTCGATTCAATATTTTTAGCTTTAAGAGTTGTAGGGTGGAAATATGATCACGATGCAATAAGCAAGTACTTCTAGATTGAATTTAAATCAATAGTAATTTATGTTAAGTCATAATAGAATGGCTATCGCAACTGGCAGGCCTTGTTTACGAGCGGATAGGGGTGGGGTTAGATGTAGACGGTAGGTTTTTTGACTTCTTAATTCCTGGACCAATCTTCTGAAGGAAGAAACGAGGGATTACCCCCTGTGATCCATGGCTAAGCTTTTCTTAAAAGTAGTGCCAAGAGCTCTTAAATATATTCAAACCTGTGGATTTTGTAGAAAACCATGTTGTTAGTGCTAATGATGTTAGTAGCGATGTTGATAAAGATGCCGTCGTTTTCAATGACATTCCAAAATCAAGAAAAGAGAACAAATGATAGTCTCCGATATAAAATAAAATGTTAGTAAACTAAAGCAAATGTTGTGAAATCATTTTCTAAAATACTCAAATCTAAATATAGATGTAGTTTTATCATGCACACAAGCAGTAAGATTATCGGGGGAAATGTAAATGAAAGTTGAAAGAAATCAGGACCTTTTTTATAATAAGCTCATTGTCAGTTATTAAGGATCATCTTTTCAAGGAATATCTTCCTTTCATATTCTGTTTCTCATGCTTTAAATACAGTGCTACTTTATGAATATAGAAACTTGCTGAAATTCAATCAGATGTAATTATGCATGGAACATAATTCAAATAAAGAAAGTATTCGAAGTGATTCAATGTAACTATACATATAAGCCCGAGGATTAGATCATGCAAAAATAGTATCGTAAATAAACGAATACGATCTCATAAGCCCCGTGCAACACTTTTTGAAACGTGCTTACATGGCAATGATTTGATTTTGAAGGCTTACTTCAAAACATCGGATCATCGTGTTCGGTCGGGTGGTCGCGTTACACAACCTCTTGTGAAGCTAAAACGGAAGATCATGTAAAGATGCACGTTTAATAACTATTAAGGCGCGACCTTTCGTAGCTTTGCCGTATGGTTAGAACACAGTGTCAGGTAAATTGGACCCGATTATTGGACCCGATTATTTGAAATGTCGGTGGGTGTTTTCACAAACATTCCCCCGACATTTCGTGAATAAAGGGGCATGTTTTCACAAAAGGTCGGGTAACACGACCACCCGACCCGACAGGATGACCCGATGATTCGAAGTAAGCCGTTTTGAAAGTCTTTGTCGTCGTGTTTAGAACAGATTAATATCTTGATACAAAGTCAAACCTGTTTGTGATTCTGTGCTTTGCGGAGAAGCTTGCGTTGTGAACGCCAATGGTGTCGTAAGCCTTATCTCTGAAAGAATGAAAAGCAATGTTTATCTTTCAGGTTCAACAAAAAAGAAAAGTCTTCAAATAGTAGTTAGGCTAGAGTTGCTAAATACAAAAAACGGGTAATAACAGTTTTATGATGAAATATAAACCTCCAACTTTTTTTATGGCAGTTGAATTATGTTAGTAAAGTAAAAGTTGGTTGTAGTTCTTGCATTAAGGCAGGAAAGGCTCTGAAAGTTTTTTTTTGTGTGTAAAGAACAAACTGATCGAAGTAAAATGGGTAGGTCGGCTTTAGGTCCAAAAATCGTAGGGCTCAGTGCATTCAAGAAATAAATCCTACCAGGTACCCACTCACTACGATATTTGAGTAGACTGTGGAAAGCGTAGTCTTTCATGAGCTCTAACTACTAGTCCACAACACATATATCTTGGATGCCTTAACTTCGTCACAGGTGGAACCAGTGTAGTTTGGGGGTACATATACATGTGAATGATGATCTATCTACTTCATTGCAAGTACCTCCATTCATACAGGGGTTACATGTAATGCCTTGGTCACAAATACCCTTACGGGCTGCTACGAACGCCGTACGAACGATTTTCAGACCATTTCGTAAGATCTTCTTAAGAAGGCCGTACGAAACAAGCGCTCGTAGACCGTTCGTAGACCGTTCGTAAGAACGCAGATTGGTCGATGGTCTTGTCCAAGAATTTTTTTAACATCGTACGAAACCCTCTCTTCGTAAGGCGGCCGTACGAACGCCGTACTTACATCGTAAGAACCACGCAAGATCTTCGTACATTTCGTAGGGTCGAGGGACAATTCTAGAAGCTTCAAATTATTACGATGACCGTAAGAACGCCTCAAGTTGTTCATAGAGGGCTCTTACGGCGTTCGTAAGAACGCCTTACGAGCGGAGATTCTTATGGTCTTCGTACGAATGACTCCTGGCGTTCGTAAGACGTTCGTAAGGTGCTCGTAAGGTGTACGTACACAATTTATGCAGCAACAACAATATCAAGCAGAGGCGCCGGAAGTGGGGGAGGGGCAGGGGGGCATTTGCCCCCTCCCACCCCTATAAAAAAAGCAGTAAAGGAGTAAAGATAGTTTGTATTTTGTAACCAAAAAGAACATAAAAAAGAACAAAACCTGAATTGAATCACATATAAATTATATTCCATTCAGAGAAAAGGAAAGTTAATAGGAATTAAATTTCGTATACATTCTGCTTGCTCCTACATTTATCAATGGAGGTTTTTATAATATATGCGATTTGCGCATATCGTTGAAATATTGTAAGAGGATGGGAAAGTTTTTTATTTTTTATTATAGTGGTGAGAAGTCATGAGCCCCTGAACACTGGCGTACTAATGGGTGGGGGGTATTTCTAATTCGATACCAGTGATTTACAAACGTTGCTGAAATGACATGATTTTCCTTATTTTTTCTCAATTTTTTTTGTAAATCATATCTTTTTAAGTGTGTGTTTGAAAATTAATAATTCCCAAATTAGCAGCTGGGCATAACAATATGCTTATTTAGAAGCCTTCATGTCAGGGCCTGCAGAACGACGGGGCTCGGGGCTCGAGCCCCCCTCACTTTTTTTTTAAAACAGGAAAGGAAAGAAAGAGAGAGAGAGACCAAAATGTGTGAACTACCAATGTCGGAAATAAGATATCAAAATCTGCTCATCTGCCCGTAATTAGATGCCGAAAACCTTTGAGCTTCCAGGGGCTCTGCCCCCTGGACCCAAACAAGGGCCCTAAGACAGCCCCCTGGATGCTCATCTGACCGTAATTGAATACCTGAAACCCCTGAGCTTCCAGGGGCTCTGCCCCCTGGACCCCACCAAGAGCCCTAAGGTGGGCCCCCTGGAGGCTCATCTGACCGTAATTGAATACCTAAAACCCCTGAGCTTCCGTGGGCTCTGCTCCCTGGAACCCCCGACAATTAGTGACCTGCCAGTGACACAAATAAGGTATCTAAATATGCTTATCTGACCGCAATTTAATGCCTAAAAACCATGAGCTTCCGGGTGCTTAGTCCCGTGACCCCCGCCTGTGCAAAGCCCCCGGACTCCACGCCAATTTACGCCACGCTCGCTACACTCTAACCTGATCGTTAATACTCCACTTTGAATTTTTTCCGTGGGGCCTGCATGTAACATGTAGGCCTAGGAGTGGTGGTGATGCAAATTTTCCTTCTGCCCCCCCCCTCCTCCAAACGATTTTGTTCATTACGCCACTGCCACTGGAAGGCGAGCCCCCTGGAATTTTTGCCACCCCAATCCCAAACTGCTTTTGGCGTGCCTGATATCAAGAAATGATGGCCATATCGGAAGTGACCGGGAGGAGGCGGTGGAAGATGACGACGACGAGGAGGAGGGAGAACCATCAAGACGGCAGTTTGACGGCGATGAAGATGAGGTAACGGGGAAACTAAGAAAGGAGAAGTAGTCATATGACTTTGATGCCACCACAGAGCAAAAACTTGTTGACTTCTTCAGTTAACATGACTGCTTTTATAATAAAGGAAGTAACAGATATGCTAACAGCAAGTTCAAGAAACACTTTATGGAGGTGCAGTTGCAGTTCTAGTCTTCTTGGCAATACTGTCATCGTGTAATATCAAACTTTCAACAGTCATCGAATTTTCGACAGTATACGGCAGCGCTTTTTTTGCAACCCGACTAAATAGGGGAAAAAAAATCGTAATATCTTCTTACGAATGACTTGTGAATGCCGTGAGTTAAACGTACGACCACCTTGCGAGAACAAAAACTCGTAAGATTGGCGGAAGTCTGACGTAAGAAGAACACAAGGCGTTTTTACGAAAAACGTACGAACTCTGGGGCCATTTTAAACCGAAAATCTTCGTTTCTCAAGAAGGTCTTGAGTTGTTCTTGCGAATTAAACGGCGTTCGTACGAACTCCGTAAGAAGGACGTAAGAAACTATGCCCCGTCTGCGAATCTCTACGAACTCTGAAATTCGTAGGAACAGGGAGATTCGTACGAACGAATCGTTCGTACGAACATTTGTGACCGTAGCATAACATGGGCTGAGTGCTGGAATAGAAAACAGATTTACAGTCAATATCAAGAACACGAGAAGACATTGATAACTGAAATCATTGTCTTTCAATTAGAATTATTGCTAATGTGAGCTTAATTTTTCTTTAAAGTCACATCACAATGCTGCTACATTAAACAACTATAAGACATTGTTTACTTTTTTAAAATTCACGACAGGTCAGTTGGTAGAGCAGTGGTCTCATAACTGGAAGGTCCCGGGTCTAACCAAGCTGATGTGCTAGCACTCTTAATTAAGGCATTAATCCTCATTACCCCGACCCTCAGAGAGTCATTAAAGCCGTCTGCCATCTAGTTACTCATTTCCAAAGTATACAATGCTTTTTAGCTATCAGGTATAAAAACAAACAATCTAGCTGCCCCATGTACAAGGGTCTCTTGTTTTTAATGTACTGAAGAGTTTATCCTTTATAAAGAACACAGAATAGATGAATAGATAAATAAATAATTTTACCTGAGCAAGTAAAGTTAGGTGTACTCCAATTGCCTGTATGCTGACAGAAGCTGATTGGTTCATTATCAGGAATATAACCATCTTCACAGATGTATAGAACTTTATCTTGATATACTGATCCTAGTATCATGTTGGAGGCAAGTGTGACGTTTGATGGGCTTCCCTCACATTTGACAGCTGTTCAGGAAAATAGAAAAGACCGGATAAATATCACGTCATTATTCATATTTCAATGAAGGGATGCTTTTGTTACTTACATTAAAACATAGTGTTAGTACAATTTTCAAAATCAATTTATTTAATTATCACTAGCTCTTAGATGAGAATATCTTATTGTAATCCTTCATGAATAACAACTTTATTGACGGCAATAATGTTCGAAGTTTCGACGACGCCTTTCTTCATGATTTCAGTATTAAACATATTTTCAGCCGCATATTACTGAAATTTGATAGTTTTAAACCCCCGGTAAAGTATAAAGTAGTTCGTTCATTTGACTCTCATTTCATTCGATTAGGGTGTCCTTTGGCGAGACATAAATCCACATTTGCCAGTATCCAGGTGTAAATGGGTATCTGGCAATTGCTGTGGTCAGGCTGTGGTAATACAACTTCGAAGGCCTGCAGAAACACGCGGAAAAGCAGTATTAATGCTGATGCAAGTTCTCTGTGGGTAAATAAGATTTAGTTATTATTTCTTATTTATTAACATAACAATCACTTTACCTTTACACGATGGTCTTTGGTGATTCCATGTTCCATTATTCATACATCTTAAAACGTTTTCTCCAGATAATGTAAAGCCCTCCTGACAGGTGAAATGAAGAGTAGCATTGACAGAGTAGGTTGTTCTATCGTCTGGTAAACGATTACCATGCAAAGGTTCACCTGGGTCACCGCAAGCAGGAATTCCTGGAAAAAATATCAGACCAAGTCTATAAACTTGAAACCTCACTGACATATTCACTCTGATATTTCATTTATGTATTTATTATATCCATTCCTTTATTCACGTTAAGAAAACCAATGCTTTATTTGTTATATGTTTGTAAAAATGCAAAAGAAAAAGAAAATCAAATACAAAATAAATAAATCAAATCAAATCAAATCAAATAATAAAACATATTCATAATGATTTTTAAACAATACAAAATATTTTGATTGCTCATATATTTGTTAATCATCTCAGCTACAATTTGTTTTAAAAAGCCACCTAACATAGTCATTTTGTATGTTTGTACAACCCCATGACCCCATAACAGATATTCAAAAGGTATATTTCACATTTTCTCACCAATTTGACATAGAGTAAGCCTCGGGCTCGAACAATGTTCGTCATTCCATTGGTACTGAAAGCCCCTTCTCATTTCTACACAGTCTTCGATATTCGTACTAGGTTCGTTATCGTACCATTTCTCATAGTTCATTCGAGTTTCTGAAGAAAAAGATGAATGATTAAATGAATATGGTGTCCTACTATTCGTAAGTAAGCTCCTCTGATTTCTACTTTCGTTAAAAAGCCCTAATGTTAAAAATATTAGCTTCAATTTGCTCGTACATGCTGATCTGTATTTGGAATAGTCAATAGTTTCATTGAATTATGATTTTTATTTATAGCATACAAGATGTACCTGATATACAGTGTTAGTCAAAAAAAAATTACACCTAGAAAATTGCTAATTATTTCAAAAAAATAATTATGAGCAGTAAATTATTATACATCTTATGAAAACGTCTTTTATCCCGAATCATTTCATATATTCATATTCATATTCATATTTATTTCATATCCAACAGAAAGGTAAACAAAGATATTACATTTGATTTCATACATAATTATTTTTTTCAAGAAACTATACAAATAAACTTTGCACACAATAAAAATATTACAAGAATTTCTTAATTTCTGAGGAAATGGGGGGGGGGGGGGTCCACTAAAAAGCAGTGCTTGTAGGTTGTGGATCCCCCACATTTAGTATCACTTCGTGTGATTTGTGTTCACCATTGGATGAACAGGAGACATTGTTTGCGAGAGTGTAAAAATCGAATTGCGCCAAAATTGTTTATGTGAATTTTGAATAAAACAATTGGAATTTGGGTATTATTTCGGTCTTCGTAGATCCAAATATCATTCCTAACAATATTAATCATGCCACACATATCAAATATAGAATATTAAATATCAATGAACATTTGTGCGCGTGACTGTGTGTGTGTGACTTTGCTTCTGCAAAAAGCATATGTAATGCATGTCATTTGATAATTTCAATTTATTTTCTCACTCCGCTAATCCCACATAATACATACTGTAGGCATCACTTTGGCGCACGTCGACTTTTTCACTCCCGCAAACAATGCCTCCTGTTCATCCATCCGTGAACACATACCACACAATAATGATACCAAATGATTGGGGATAAAACACTCTTTCATAATATGTATAACAATTTACTGTTAATAGATGATATTTATTTTTAGATTTAGCAATTTTCTAGGTGTCAACTTTTTTTTTGACTCACACGGTAGAGTGTGTAAATTCTTGGTATTTTTTTTAAATTGCTTAGGTTTAGCTGAATGTGTAGGTTTAAATCGTGTATTCTTACAAAAGTATTTAGTGTATCGTTGTTGTTATTCTACTACTTTTATCTTTTCATTGTTTTCAAGATGGTATTTCTCAATTCATTTAAATTAGTAAATGTAGATAAAATATCTAAATTCGTTTACATCTGATATTGTATATGTATACATCTCACAATATAATTCGTTTGTATTGACCATGTTTAAAGTAAGTGTCATGTTATTACTTTGCAGCAAATCTTAAAATACGTTACTAATAACTACATTCATACAATACAAGATCTCATTCTGGCAATGTTGCTATCACTAAACAATGTATATGTATTAGTTCTGGACTGCAACGAATAACTTGTATAATGCCAAAAATAACCAGGATGTCCAGACTTTAAAATTCATAGCCGATAAAGTTGATATAGATTTCATATATATTTCATATCTCTAAACTCATTTCAATTCCTGTGTTAAAGCAACAATTTGAACTGGAAGTTTGTTGTATTGGCATTGCATACAAATGGTGACTAATGGTACACCGTTCAAATTTCTTTTTACAGTAAATATCCTGTGGCTTCTTATATCGTTGGATTTGCTTCAAAGGTAAATGTTTGTCTTCCAATAAACAGATGAAGACTACGTGTTACTGTTACTATAGTTTCTGAGCAATCACGTACTATCAGACCAATACCAGGACCGTCCTACGTCTTCGTCATAACCACCGATCCACCAGGCCGTGTTTACACCTCTGCTTCTCAGATACAGGGCTCGGTCCAGCAATAAAGCATTAGTGCTCTCATCGAGTATTTCAGCCAGAAATCCTCTTCTCCCGTTACACTCTTCGGCTCCGTCATTACAGTTCTTCGAAACATCCAGGAATTGGAAACAGGTGCCCATGTATTCAAGAACCATGTCGGATTGGTTAAGTTCAACACTCTGGCAAGACCGATCTAGAAATAAACATTTTATGACTTAGTAATAATCTAAATAAGGTTTAGCTCATCATGGAATGTGAAGACGTGCTAAAGCACGATCATACAGACCTTCGAAAATATCGACTTAAGCCGTTTTAAATAGCCTTGTCCGTCACATTATGATCGTGTGAACATTACGATGGAATATTAAAAACAATGTAGTCCGAACATGATGTTTTTTTTTTACGCAATAGGATATTGGAATTGCTTTTGAGCTTATTTTTTCATTTGTCTTTGTGATAATTTGTATTTATATGGTACGGGTTAAGAGGCGGTACAGGTGTTTGCCTCATTGCTTCGGGACGATTGACTTAAAGCGCTTCCGTGTCTTCGATAGTAAACTAGACTGCGCTGTAAACTTGGTTATATTGCATAACGAAGCATGGTACGAATAAACACTGTTGTTCACGCAAAACAAACACTCCCCAATTGTCATTCAATAAAATCTGAGAATGTTTACTAGTATCTAGATCTATTAGGAATAAATCATTGTCAAAATCATTCAATAAACGGGGTAAAAATAATTATTCCACCATTATGACCAACAGTGTATATTCTTTGATAAATTTAATTTGTAAAACCAGGAATCTTCTTTTCTGATTTAAAGATTTGACTATTGAGCTTGCATTAGTTATTCAAAATATATACAATCATACAGGGAGCTAAACAAGTATGACGAATCTTTCAATGGGTTGAAAATTGATCTCGGTTTTTCTGGCTTGAAAAGGACGTCACGGTCTTCGGACACACACACAATGCGGCTTTTCGTGGGCAAATCGCGGGATTACCTCAGTACAGCTTCCCTGCATGCGCCCTTAGGTTAAAAAGCCGCAGCTTCTCGCACATGAGAATTAATCCAGGGCGCCTTAGTAGTAGTAGTAGTAGTAGTAGTAGTAGTAGTAGTACAGCAGTAGTAAAATAGCTGACAGTAATAGAAGTAGTAGTAGTAGTAGTAGTAGTAGTAGTAGCAGTAGAGCAGTAGTAAAGTTGACAGTAGTTGTTGTAGTGGTAGTTGTAGTAGTAGTAGTAGTAGTAGTAGTATGGGATTTCCCGGCCAAATTCGCGAGTTTGTCATCAAAATGAATTTTTCTTGCGTTCAAATTTGACGGTTTTAGTGCTGTCAGCTATATCTCTATTCCTTTTTCTAGTTTTCAAATCTATAAAGTTTTCCTAAGAGTCTATTTCATTCAAATTTATGAACAATGTGCTTCTTTCGCTATTTGGTCGTTCGAGTTGGCGCAACACGACTTTCTGACATCACGACTGTTTACTTTTAGCACTCTAATTCATTTGTAGTATTCAAATTATGACTTTGTGCACTTAGTATTATTTTCATATATATATTTGTTAAACTTTAATGTACCTCATTATGTTTAACATGGCTTCATGGAAGACCACCATTATTGGTGATAATGAGTCACCCTGTCTATATATCAGAAATAAATAAATAAATAAATAAATATCTATAAAACCCTTCGACCAAGAATCTAAATAAAATACAAAAACGGGAAAATTGAATGATAATTGGCATGGCAAAGCTGATCCTCGCTTAGTTGTGCATAGTAAATGAATTTAAATGACAAACTCGCGAAATACGCAGGGAAATCCCATAGAACTAGTAGCAGTAATAGTAGTAGTAGTAGTAGCGGTAGCAGCAGCAGTAGTAGTAGTAGTAGTAGTAGTAGTAGTAGTAGTAGTAAATTAGTAGGAGTAGTAGGAGTAGTAGTAGTAGTAGTAGAAGTAGTAGTAGAAGTAGAAGTTGATTTCATATTTTTTCATTCAATTCCGTCCCGTAACTTTGTGGTATTGCACATCTCGATGTCGATTTCGTCTTTGGTCATTCATTTACTCACTTTGTCATTAAATTTGGTAATTATGCATTCAATTTTGTCCAAGTCAAATCAAGTTTTGGCAACCCCGGCTGTCAAAGTACCATTGCACGAATCAATTTTGTAATTTTGCAATTGATTTCGTCACAGAGCCATTTAAATTCGTCATGTGTTCGTTTGTTAAACATGAAAACTTATCTTAATGGCGTAGCTGCGTAGGCCTATGAATATTAATCTAGGCCACTATCAGAATTACTTGATTGTGTATTTTATCTCTCCGTCTTGTATTCTTCTTTGTTGGTATTCATTTTAAGGAATTCACACAAATAAGATATCGTTTTCATAAGAGGAAAACATAGCTTATGAAAAAAGAAAAATCGAAAAACTGTTTAGCTCGCTCGCATTTTAAGTTGATATGTTTCTTATAGAAGGTGTTTTCATTCTTTCATGATTAGATTTTGCTTAAATCCCCATCATAATTGTATTTTTTCCACTTTATAAAATGTAATTTTTCGCACTACGATCTCTCAAATCTATACATACACAAAAATTCATTCGCTTCACTCTCTCACAAATGAATATTCAGACCATCACACCTGTCTGCAATATATGATGCTTAAGCAGTAAATTGGACCATGTTAAGAGAGAAACAAATATTTAAATCATCCCTGATAATGTAATCGCAATGTAGGGGTATATACCAATGTCTAGAAGTTTTATATTTTCGCGTTGAGGTTTCCCTATGTAGGTGCCCTTTTTTGGTGGTGCACCCCCACTTTGAAAGACGCTCCACCACCCCTGCCGTTGGATATGTGACGCAGGCATAGGACGAATTTGATTACCTATAATCTCAGACGTATTCGGATATACTTAGATAAGGACATCACAAAATACATTGTTCATGCATGCATCACTAATAAGTTGGACTATTGTAATGGTCTACTGTATGGGATCCCTGGCTCTCAAATAGTGAGATTGAAACGGGTTCAAAACACCTGTGCAAGGCTGATTTATGGTTGTTCCAAATTGACACGGATCATCCCCATTTTAAGAAACTTACATTAGTTACCAGTACGCCAGAAAATAACATTCTAAATCTTGCTGATTGTATATAACGCACTTCTTGTAAGTTCCCACTTATATCAAAGAACTGTTAAATTTCAAACTTGATCTACACAATCTCAACATGCGCAGTTCCCGAAATACTTTGTTGCTGCAGATCCCATCTATCAAAACAAAATAACGCTAGGTGATGAAGCATTTGTTTGTTCAGTTCTAAAAGTCTGGAATAATTTACCATTGGAAGTCAGGAAATCACCATCTGTGAATATCTTTAAATCAAAACTGAAAGCACATTTTTTCAATTAACTGTAAATTTAGGCATATCAGGAGCTTTTGTAGCGCAGTAGAATATATAATTAATGTTGGATAATGTCCGCGCTCTATAAGTGTATTAGTATTATTATTATTATTATTAGTAGTAGTATTATTATTATTATTATTATTATTATTATTATTATTATTATTATTATTATTATTATTATTATTACATTTTGCAGCGGACCGTTATGTGAGACGACGCTGAATGAAGTCTGACGACATTTAATGGACATGTGTTGAAATCCATTGACCGCTGCCCAGCTTAAATTACAAATGACGAAGTTAACTTTGACATTTGAAGGTTAACGGATTCTCAGGATGAAAAAGAAGTGCACATTTATGACATTGAATGAAAAATAATTGTTAAAATCGACAGAAATCCTGTTGTAGTGGTGGTAGTAGTAGTAGTAGTAGTAGTAGTAGTAATAGTAGTAATAATATTAATATCAATTACCATACTGACAGAGCAAGCCATTGCCTGTTTGGTTTGATCTAGGACTCCATGAAAACGATCCATCCTGATATGACAGTTCAATACAATCCTCTGAATTAGAACTTGGAAATTGATATTGCCAAAAGAAGCGTTCGATGTATTTCCTACCTGAGAAAAACAAGGATCAACATAAAAAAAGAAAAAAGAAAGAAAGAACATTTATTTTATCTTGGCATTTGCTTTTTAGCCCGTCTGCCATTCAATATCTGTCCTGTTATTCTTGCAAACTTGATTCTGAATACTATTTCTTCATTATTTTTTTGTGTATCATTATCATATTACTTAATCACGTTATTCGTGTTATATTTATTTAACTTAATGAAGATAGAATTCATGAAATTTCATGTCGATGTACGTCTACCTCTGTCAAAAAATACGCATGTGACTGCATCCATAATTTAGATTAAAATAACCATTTACTATATAGAGAATCATTAAAGGGAAGGTTGAGAAAATGTATCATTATTTCGTTCGGGAATTGTCCATTTTTGCATACGAGACGGTCGTATTTATTCTGTCGCACTAATAACCATTGCTTTTTTGTTTTGCCAATAATAGGCTACTGAAGATTGTGAAAATAAAAATACAAATGAACTTAACAAAGCTAGAGATAATTTACTATGTCTCCAAATCCAGTCTTGTCCTTCCATCGCTCCAATCCAAACACTGTTGCCGATCTGGTCGCCAATGAACTCGACGAGAAACGTTTGTGTCTCAGCTTCTTTCACTGTGGCAAGTAGCTCTCCTTCCGCATTGCAGAGGTTATTCGATCCTATCCAATTTATCGCATTGCTACCACCACGTCGACGGTAACAAGTGAGATCGGAGTATCGTTTGATTTTAGTGGATGTACCGCCGCAATCCCCTTAACAAATAGGAACAACAACATTAAAAAAAATTGTATAACATTTTATGACCGTTGAGTTTGTACAATTTACCTTTTGCATTATCATATTTCATTTATTTTTAAATTTGTTTTGTAAATTGTGAACAATTGAGTCATGATCTGCTTATCACGATTTGTATTAAATCATTAATTATATAAGTAGAGCTTAGAAACTTTACATTTCTTTAGAGGTAGAGATAGTCATTAATACTAATAACGCAGCAAACACGATAAAATATGTGGTGCGGGCTATTGACGACTAAACATGGAAAAACATCGGAATCAAAATAGCTGCTTACTTTGACAGACGGGAGGATCGTTCTCCCATGTGCCATCTTGTAGACATCTATTCAAGTTACTTCCAATCAGAGTGTACTTGCTACTGCTGCATCTGTATGTAATCGTCTGGTTTACCAAGGGAGCTTCAGGCAATGGAGGATCGAGCGCTGAATACGCAGCGATAGGAGGCGACGGACATTCAATAGCTGCAACAACATGAGTAATGATTCAATCTAAAGGCAATAGATCGGTATACTAACATATTCAAATTCATGGATGTTTCTTTCCTGGGGACTTATAGTGACGAGGTATTCCATTAACCTGTTATTAATTTAATGAATGAACTGCAATACTTGGAATCCAGTATGCAAACATTACTCGTTGCTTTGTAGAGCAAGCCTCGAGCAAGCTCTCGATTTCTCAAGAACAACCTTTATTTAAACAGTATGCATACATTTCAATATGTTAGTGAACCATTCAAATGGTCTTTTCCAATGGTCTTGTACGCCATATTTTGAAATATTACAAGACATTACACTGACGTATTACGTCATAATCCGAACATAAAATATAATGGTTATGCAATATGGTATCGAAATTGCCCTTAATTGGTTTTCTTTGATGTCTTTATGATCACGTTATTATCATGTCATCGGTTTGTTTTTTTCAGCTAATCTAAGAAATCTCTACAGCTTATTAACAGTACCAAATGAACATGATTAATTATTAGTAAAAGTGAATATCATACTAATTTACTCCATAGAAGAAACAAAAATAGTTTTTTCAGAAAATTGTTGTAGGTAAAATGTAAAAGTCAATGTATTCCATTAATAAAAGTAAATTATCAAAAACTGTAAGACACAAATACAATATCTTCCATATACACTTTGATACATGTCTATTATTTGTAAACTTTAGTTATGCAATGTGTCTTTTTTCCTTCTCAATTCATAGTAACATATGTACTTTTGTTTTAATCTCTATATAATGCGCTAATTTAGATTGATTTATTTAAGCATGTGAAGCCCTTACCCGTGCATATGGGTTTTTGAACCAGCCAAGACCCGTCCTCTAAGCACACCCATACAACAGTGTTTGTCAGGCCATCCATCATGTATCCATCGCTGCATTCCCATGTGATATAAGAACCTGTATCCAGCGTTTTGTTCGGCAAGGTTGTTATGGTGTTAGCTATGGGGTCTGGCATGGCACAGATAGCTGATATCAAACCTGTGGAGAGGACATATTATTGGAAAATGATCACAACTACATTCGAGAAATCAACTTAAGAACAATTTCAATATCATATTGCTGTCCCATACAAATCATATTCCGGTTATGTAACACGTCGTCGTCATGTTCGCACACTTCAATATATGATGCACAAGACCATTTCAATTGCCTTAGCATGTGATTTGGTTTAAGTAGTTGCTATTAAAACAAAAAAGCAACCCCTCCCCTAGGAAAACACAAAGGTTTTCACTTCCCTACTGTTTTTTTAGGGGGAACAAAGTTCGCTCTTAATGTCATCAAGTACCAATTGACACCTGACCTGGAAGGAGAATGGCAAATTTAAATAAACTTATCGTCAAAGGACGGTAGTGCAAGGCTGGGATTAGAATCCCGTATCATGTTACCTACAGTTCCATGACTTATCTACTAGTCTAGTGGAACACCTCTTCATTATTCTCATAGCTTTTCTTCTGTGTAATTAAGGTCCTTGTGTGCCAGATAATGGAGGGGGTGCGAAAATGACTCCGGCATCTGCAAATGCGCAACATATCAAATTATCATTATCATGGTATACGTTGATTTCTCCTCATCTCCTTTGTACATATCAGTTTTGTTGGTATGAACTTCAATACACACACACAAAACAACAACACAATGAGAACAGAAACCAGTGCCCCGTAGAAAGACTCAGACAGGCTATACTGATATCTGTTTATTAAAATACAACATCCACCTTTGCTCTTAAAACAAAAAAAAACAAAAAAAATTTAGTCATATAATTTATCAAGGCCAACAGTCAACCTCATACACGGAAACTAGGATTGACGGAAATTTATTGAAATTGTGGTCAACAAATTAAACAAGTAATTGAAACCAAATACATCCTTATGTACAGGATATGAGAGAAACCGCAATACAAACAATCCAAATTTTCAGGTTGAAAATTGGGCAAAAATTAAAAGTGCATAATGCGGCCATAAAACCTTGAGAGACTTTTTATTCTTCTCATGCATTTGCCTATGATAAACAAGTTTCGTGAATGTTAAAATACACATAATTAGGCTACAGCTAGATTATGCATGCTTTAAAAGTACTATGTCCCATTTACAAGCCCTAACAATGAAAAGGTTATTCCAACGGCATTTTATTATTATTATTATTATAATTATCTTTATTAGTTTTATTTTTATTATCATTATGATTACCATTGTTATTAATATTATTATTATTTCCGCAATTATTGCTATTTATTTTTATTAAACAAATTTTGTTACACATTAACAAATTCATACTTTATCAAATGATAACCATGAACATAAGATTACTGGCTGCAAACTACTACCCAGACGCGGATCCAGGATTTCTTGGGGGAGGGGGACCAATTTTTTTTTTTTTTTTTTTTTTGCTCCCGAAAATTCAAAGGCCAAAAAAGTTGCTCAGTGGGGGGGGGGGGGGGGGGGGGGGGGGGGGGGGGGGGGGGGGGTGCAAATTTTGAAATTTCTGAAGGCCAAAAAAAATAATGAACACATTTTTTTTTTGGCCTTCAGAAATTTCAAAATTTGCACCCCACCCCCCCCCCCCCACAAAAAAAGGTAAGAATCACGTGTTTTTACACGGGTGGGCGGGCCCCCTCCGCCACTGCTACTACCATTGTTACTAATATGTTTATTCAATAGGAGATTATTTTCTATTTTCACGCAGTTTTATGAATCTCAGGCTAAAAATATGACAGCATTCTCTTTAAATAATATTCCGCAGTCGTTAATATGACAGATGACTTCTACAGGTAAAAAGAAACCTTACAAAGACTGAAATGAAGTATTTCCGTAAGTTGACGTAGCATTGTGCATATTGAAAATAGGGTGTATGACTTCAATGACTTGAATAAATATTGGTTATCAGTGGCACTGGTATCATGTTTCTGAGAGGTTAAGGCACCGTGCGTTACAAAATAAAAAGATCGCTGCGCACGCACGCCGAGTAGCCTAAATCGGTCAAAGCTAGAATTCCATAAACCGGGCCGACCAGATTAACCGTATACAAAATAGCATATAGCAGAAATACGAAGTTGCAAACCATCCAGAGACTCCTAATAAATTGCGTTTTATACTTATTGATTAATTATATCATTATGAATTTTTATTCTCAGTTTTCTTTACGGATAACTGATATTCTTATAAAACTGAAGATATGGCGTATATATCCAATACTGAATGAACGCCATTAAACTACTACCAACAACAACAACATGCGGGGGGGGGGGGGGCTCCTGAGGTAAATGCAAAACGAGTTAACAGAGATATCGGGTAGTGATATGTGAGAAGAGGGGGGGGGGGAGGGGCTTATATGATTATCTTTTCATTTCCTTTTCCTTATCTTTCTTTCTTTCTATCCGATCTCTCTCTCTCTCTCTCGTTATTTACTTCCTCTTCTTATCTTTCTCTGTCTGTCTCTCTCTCTCTCTCTGTATCTCTATCATTCTATTTCCCCCTCTCTCTCTCTCTCTTTTTTTCTCTCTACCTCTATCACTCTAAAGGCTCTCTCTTTTCTTTCTCTCTCTCTTTCTCGCTCTCTACCTCATCTCCTCCCCCTCTCTCTCTCTCCCTCTCTCTATTTTCTCTATCCCTCTACGTCATCCTCCTCTCTGTCTCTCTCTTTTCTTATTCAAGGAGTTAGAGGGGGCACGAATCGCCAAACTT